TGACTGTATCCCTGAATACACAGAGATCTTATGGGATTAAAGGCGTGTGCCACCACCGCCACACTCTTGCTATGGCTCTAATAGCTCTGACCCTGAGCAACTTTATTTATTAACATACAATCAAAATAATATTTCAGTACAATTAGATTACCACCACAGTCTACTTTATGAGAGAAGGACTCATGAGTTGGTAAAGTTTGCCAGAGTCTGTTGCTCTTGTTCCCAGATGTGCAGACAGGCCCACTGAAAGCCTATTATCAATAGAGAAGATGGGTTATTCCTCACCCAGGAGGGATGGATTCTCTCACAATGGGTAGTGATACCCCCAATGGTTGATGATACCTCTAGCAGTTTTCTTGTTCAGAATTGTTCAGCTAATCTGGGTATTTTGTATTTCAATGTGAAGTTTAGTAATGTTTTTTCAATGTATGTGAATTGTATTTATTTTTTATGGTGATTGCATTAAATCTGTTGATTGCTTTTGTTAAGGTGGATGCTTTCATATTTATCCTATCGATCTATAAGTATGGGAGCTCTATCTGTCTTCTAGTATCTTCAATTTCTTTTTTTTCCCAGTGTCTTAAAGCTTTTGTACAAGTATTTCATTTGATTAGATTTATTCCAAGATTGTCCCTTTCTCTTCCCATTTTTGAGGTTTTTCTGAATGAGATTGTTTCTGTCATCTCTTTCCCATTATGATTTTAATATGTACTTAGAAATGTACTATGTTTGTCATGGTGTTTTATCATAGCCACAGGAAAGGAACTAAGATAACTGGTTATTGTATAAAGTTTCTAAATGAGACCTGAAAACTAGTTATGATGCCAAATGTTGTATTTTCTGTAGAAGCATTTGGTCAGGTGCAGTCTGCACACATGCACACAGCCATTGTTTTGCATATTTGAGACCATGCTAAATGAAGACCACATGAGAAAAGGAAGAAACAAAGTGCTAGAGAGGCCCACAGAAATCCAAAAAGATACCCCCACAATAGACTGCTGGCAATGGTCAAGAGACAGCCGGAACTGACCTACTCTGGTGATGGGATGGCCAAACACCCTAATAGTCTTGCCAGAAACTCCATCCAAGGACTGAGGAGTCTGGATGCAGAGATCCACGGCTAGGCCCCGGGTGGAGCTCAGGGAGTCTAATTTGCAAGAAAGAGGAGGGTTTATATAAGCGAGAATTGTTGAAACCAAAGCTGGATAAAGCACAGGGACAAATAACCAAATGAATGGAAACACATGAACTATGAACCAAAGGCTGAGGGGCCCCCAACTGGATCAGGTCCTCTGAATAGGTGAGACAGTTGAATGGCTTGATCTGTTTGGGAGGCATCTAGGCAGTGGTACCAGGTCCTGTGCGCATTGCATGAGTTGGCTGTTTGAAACCTGGGGCTTATGCAGGGACACTTGGCTCAGTCTGGGAGGAGGGGACTGGACCTGCCTGGACTGAGTCTACCAGGTCGATCTCAGTCCTCAGGGGAGGCTTTGCCCTGGAGAAGGTGGGAATGAGGAGTAGGCTGGGGGAAAGGGAGGGGGCAGAAGGGGGGAGAACAAGGGAATCCGTGGCTGATATGTAGAACTGAATGGTATTGTAAAATAAAATAAAAGGAAGAAGAAAAAAAAAGACTTCATAGGACAAGTTTTATGTGAACTTCAGAGCTGTCCCTTGTTCTTCCTTGTTCATTATTCATAATATCTACATAAATTAGATATGTTGAGGAATCTAAAGAGGACTTTAAATAGGTAGGATGGATATATTTGAAGTTTAAAGGATGTGCATAGATTACATGCCCTTTTAAAGACAAACAACACAAGCATCTGAGGGTCTGGCTCCTGCAGAGTGGGGTGACAAGTCCTTCTTTTAAAAACCATGGAGACCCTTGGCTTTGCAAAGAGTGAAGAATTCTGTTTGGAGTTTATTGAAAGAATGTTTTAAAGAGCTGGTCTGAACAGAAATGATCAGAAGGATGAAGGAGTCTTGAAGATGGAGGATCTTGTCTAGAATTCTTAACTACTAGACTTGTTCTAATTGTTGTTTCTGTTCTTTGTAGTTTATCTCAGGTCTATCACTATTTTACATGAACTTCTTGCGGAACATCTCATGGATTCAGTACTTCAACATTCCTCATTATGGATTTACAGTAAGTTGTCCTGTCTGTCACTGTACTTGGGGTCTTCAGCTGTAGTAACTGAAATGAATCCCAACCAAGTCCTTGCCCCATCTGTAATTTCTAACCAGCAGCTCCCCAGGATTTTCCTTCTAGGAGCAAAAGATGAGAACTTTACTGTAATTCTACCCAAAGGTCAGTGAGTTATCTGGGGTTTTCCCCAGTCAAATGTTATTTGAGGGAAATAAAGGGTGAGAAAAATCCCAGAGAAAAGAGGAAAGACAGATGATATGATGAAAAGCATACAGTTGTGATTCTACCCAATAAGGAAATAATGAAAGGATAAGGGACTAAGATACATACTTTATATCAGGAAATTAAAAGAATGTGATACCCATAGACTTTGTGAAGCTTTCTCTATGGTAAAGTGTGTCTTAACAGTATCTTACTCCCATAATCACAACTGGTTTTGATGAAAACGAGCAAGAATATATTGTTACTATAAATCAATAGGAATTTATTAATTACAGTGTTTACATGATTATGGACTCTGCAGAGAAGGAAACACCTGAGATAATCTCCTTAGAGAGTCAACATCTTAGTAGTTGCAAAACACCATCATTTTGATCCTAAGTCTCTTGAGTGTGGGGGAGGGGCACTGCTTTTCTGGGCAAACTGAACTTGATAGGGTTTTGTTTGTTTCAATTTTTTTTCTTTTTTTTGAAAATTGCAGTCAAGATTGGACATGAAGTTATAGCCCTGTTTATTCTTTGGAAACATAAAAATATTAAACTATTTGCCTTTCTCTGTTCTTGTTTCTGTTACAGGCTTTGCAGCACAGTGCATTCCTGGGACAAAACTTCTGTCCAGAACATAACACAGTAGAAGTCAGTAGATGTCATAACTATGTAATGTAAGCTTGAATTCAGTGTCATAATGGGGACATAGAATGGTGCTAGACTTAGAGGGAAAACCATCCTTTTGGGATTAACACTCCAGTTCCCTAGAGTGAGTCATTGTAACCAGTGCACAGATAGATGTGTTTTGATTCTACTGCTCCATGGTGTAGATAATGTGCAGAAAGGGTTCTTTGGGCCTTTAAAAAATGGTTTTGGTACCTTGATTGTGGATTTTAGTTCCTTGTTTCAGAACATTTGAGCTTGACCTAGACTGCTCTGATAGTTTAGCAAGGACACTCAGTTTCTACATGTATAGATTATGGTACCTGTGAGCAGAGGCCAAGAATGTCAGGGCAGCAAGGCTAAAGTGAGTAATCTTTGCCTGCCAGATTACAGTGTGTGTGTGTGTGTGTGTGTGTGTGTGTGTGTGTGTGTGTGTGTGTGTGTAGAATATCCTATCAGAGGATATGTCCTGCAATTAAAGAAACACATATTTCAGTATGTTGAAAAATATACTTTTTTCAACATTCTCAAGGAAATATCATTTTCCAATACCATTTAAATAGAAACAAAGATATTTTAAATAAAATTAAAGTGTATTATTTTCCAGTTACAATATCTTGCCTTTCTATGATTGCTGTCATTGATTTGATTTTGATATATAAGTGAGAAAGGAACATGCTTATATGTTAAATCTCTAATGGATGTTCAAAATAATAATGAATAATAGTAACTCGAATTATTTTTGAATTACTGATAAGAAAACAAATATGGGGGGATATCTTATTTCCTACATCTCCTCTTTCCTGGTATGGTCTGTCATCCTAAAACAAATTCCTTACCAGTTTCTTGTCAGAAGGATGGAGATGGGTAAAGTGAAACCAAAGACAGGCCATCCACAGACCTCATACTCACTGAAGGATTTTCCTCACAAGAGGAAGAATAAATCTGCCCTTTCTGTGGACTTGGAGACTTTTAAATCTTAAGAGATACACAGAGATGGAGACACATAGGGATGGAGACACACAGGGATGGAGACACACAGCGATGGAGACACACAGGGATGGAGACACACAGGTAGTGATTGTAGTATATCCAGAACTTTTAGCAGCAGCTGCTTTTCTAACCTGTGTAAAGGCCTTTGAATCCTGCTGTGCTCCAACTGCTACCCAGGCTCTCTGTAGCCATGAACTACTGGGGATGTTCCATAGCTGAGCTCTCTTAGTACAGGATCTGTCAGCAATGGACTGACTCCTGGCAAAAACACTTAGTCTCTTTGGTCTCGGTCTAGAATTTGATGCTGTGTTTATTGCATGACTGTCCACTGAGTCCGCAGAACTGCACAAAGCTTTGATCTCTTAGAGTGTCTGTGTGTCATTAGGAAGCTGAGGTTTTCTACTTCGGGAGAAATATGGACTTCACCCATGCCTTTGCCCTTTGGGGAGAGGGCAGCATTGTAGATTTAGAATGAATGACACAGTGAAGACAACAAAGTTGGACTTAGTGTGACTCTCTAAACTCAGCCATTTACTGAGCCATTTACTGAGAGGAATTTTTAATGATGTGTTGAAACTATGAGTTTTAAAAAAGAAGCAACAGTGAATGTACTGAATAAATCTTTGACATTATTTGTCTGTGTTGAATTACAGATGTACTGGTGAAGAATTTTTGATGATCCAGGGCATTGATCGCTCATCATGGGGCTTCTGGAAGAATCATGTGGCCTTAGCCTGTATAACAATTATCTTCTTATCAATTACCTATGTACAGTTATTAGCTCTTAAGAAAAAGAGACATTTTTAAATCACTCTTCTACTTTCCTTGAATTAATTTGACATTATTTTTGGTATGATTTATTTATTATTTAATTTTTTTATTAAGAAAAATTTTCCACTCATTTTACACACCAAAGATCTCCCTCTCCACTTCTCCCTCCCTCCCACCTCTCCCTCCCAATCCACACCCAATTCCTCCCCACAAGAAGGCAAGGCCTCCCATGAGGAGGCACATCCAGAAGAGGCAAGTCCAAGCCTCTCCCCCTCAAGGCTGTGAGAGGTGTCCCATCATAGGCAGTGGGATCCAAAAAGCCCTCTCAGGCACCAGAGATGGATTCTGATCCCACCTCCACAGCCCTTGACCCAACTTTCATGAGCCCCCACTAGTTTGGTTTGGTCGTCTCTGCAGGTTTCCCCATTATGATCTTGGTACACTTGCTCATGGAATCCTTCTTTTCTCTTCCTGACTGCACTCCTGGAGCTCAGCCTGGTGCCTGGCTGTGGATCTGTTCATCTGTTTCCATCAGTCACTGGTAAAAAGCTCTGTGATGACAGTTAGGGTATTCATCAATCTGATCTCTGGGGTAAGCAGTTCAGTTCAGGTACCCTTTCCACTATTCCTAGTAGTCCAAGTTAGGGACCTCCCTGGGGATTCCTGGGAACTTCCCTAGTACCTGGTTTCTCTCTATCCCCATGAAGTCTTCCTCTCAACATGTAGTTTCTGGAATAATCACGTGGCCTTACCTTGTATAATGATTGTCTCCTTATCAATTACCTATGTGCAATTATTAGCTTTTAAGAAAAAGAGACATTTTAAAACCACTCTTCCCCTTTCTTTGAATTAATCTGACATTTAAAAAATAAAAACTTTGCTGGTGGCCATGTGAGAGGAACATCAAGGAGCACTTGAATTCAGGAGTTTGGTCCACCAGAATGCAAGGCACTGATGGGTGAATCTCTGATAGGCAAGGCCCTGAGGGCTGTGGCTTCAGAATGTCTTTGCTTCTGCTGTGCCTTTACATGTTTGCTGCTGCTGTATTTCTCTGGTATCTGGCTTGGTGTGAATGGGGGTAGGGAATCTCCACTGCCTTGAATGTAATGTGATTATCTCATGGAAATTTCCTGTTCTACTGGGCATAACTGTGGATTATTATGAAGATGATTTCCTCCCGACCTGTACAGTTTAACTGAAGTAATGATTTTATACAATGGTAGTTTAAATAGAGTTTGATGATTAAGGGTTTTTAACACATGTAGTAAGGGATTATGATAGAGGTTAGTTTAGTGGGAAATTTATTATAGGTAAACATAAGATATCGTGTTGACCTCGCCCCTGATGAATTAGGGCTGTAGAGCATAGAAAATAGGACCAAGGAAGTGTCATCAGCTGGGACTTATGAGTTTCTCTTGAGGAGCCTATAGACTGTGGTTTAGGTGAATGATTAAGGAAAACAATAGAGTCAGAGGAATTAGCTCAAGATCTTTTCGGTATTGGAAAATGTGTTCATGGAGTTTGGAGTGCATCATAGCTAAAACAAAGCTTTAAATAATACTTCATGTAACTAGAAAACAAAGAATTGGATGGTTAGTTAAAATAATTGGGCAAACTCTAAAATATGAAAAGTGAAACTAGTTATCTATTTTATGGCAATTGTAAAAACTATTGTCTGTGTTAGCAGTTATGGCTGAAAGGCTCCTGATCTGTGAGAGTTTTAAAAGAAAAATGTTTAAAATGTGGGTGCTTGGTGACAGTTTGCTTTTCACTTGTAATACATAAAATGTTTATACATGTAAGGGAATGGGAAACATGCTTTTTTTTTTACTTGTATTCATTGTAATCATTCACTTAAAAATAGAACGTAACTACATTGTAATTTTTATTTTTCTTGAAGAGTCTGCTGGGGTATATAAGCTGTAAGGGGAAAAATACAGAATTTAGAAGAAAGACATCAGGAAGTATTGAGAAGGAAGTCATCAGGAAGTAGTGAGAAGGTAGTCACTAGGAAGTAGTGAGAAGGAAGACATCAGGAAGTAGGGAGAAGGAAGTCATCAGGAAGTAGTGAGAAGGAAGTCACTAGGAAGTAGTGAGAAGGAAGACATCAGGAAGTAGGGAGAAGGAAGTCATCAGGAAGTAGTGAGAAGGAAGTCATCAGGAAGCAGTGAGAAGGAAGTCATCAGGAAGCAGTGAGAAGGAAGTCATCAGGAAAGAGAAAGAAAGGAAACATCAGGGTAGAAGAACAGAACAGAAAAAGGATATAATAGAATAAGCAATGTGTAGCGGGTAGCCATTCCAGCTTTGATCTGGAAGTTCCAACCCCCACTGAAGCTTTGGTAAGGGTCACGCCTACAAGGCGGGGCTGAGAAAGGATGCTGAAGACCCAGATCTAGATGCGCCGGCTCTCTTGGTTCCTGGACCCTGGACGTTGAAGGTAGACCGAGCAGAGTTCTCCAGAGAGCAGCGCTGGACTGTGCTATGCCTTTCTCAGACTCTGTAAACTATCCCTTCACTTGTAAGTTACCCCACAAAATAAACCTCTCTTTTAACTACATGGAGTGGCCTTAATAACTTCACCAATAGCAATGGAAACAATAATAAAATGAAGAACTAAGCTTTGACCCTCAGAAAAGTCCTAGTGTGTTTGTTTGTCTGTCCAGTAGTTCACCTGCTCTGCATCTCCTCTTCAGTTTCTCTGACCTGCTGAAGGCTTGCAATTTATCAGCACCCGAGGTGAGAACCTGACATGTTGGAGATTTTGTGTGTGTGTGTGTGTGTGTGTGTGTGTGTGTGTGTGTGTGTGTGTAATTCCCTTTTAGCTGGACAAAGAGAATTAAGGTTTACACTCTTAGATAGAAATGTCAATGTAGTGATTAGTCCTTCTTTTTCTGGGGTGGCTTCCCTTCAATTACTGGCATGCTGAAGGCTGGTCTCTACAGCAGCAATTTTTTCCCCAGTAAATTTAGCCAAAACAACAAACAAACAAACAAAAAACCCAAAAAACAAAACCAAACAAAAAAGCAACTGTGGTCTGCTGTGTTGCTCTGATTGGTTGATAAATAAATTACTGATTGGCCAGTAGAGAGACAAGGAGAAGGCAGAGAGGAGACACTGCTAGCTGCTGCCAGGAGAAACAAGATATAAAGTACGGTAAGCCACGAGCCATGTCACAGCGTATAGATTTATAGAAATGGGTTAATTTAAGATGTAAGAACTAGCTAGCAAGAGGCCTGCCATAGACCATACAGTTATAAATAACATAACTCTGTGTGTTTATTTGGGTCTTACCAGCTACAGGACCAGGTGGGACACAGGAAAACTTCAAGCTACATTTGGCTGCCCAATGTGAATCAAGAATTTCCACCGAAAACCTGAGAAAATTTTAAAAACAGATTATAGCCAGGCGGTGGTGGCTCACGCCTTTAATTCCAGCACTCAGTGGATATCTTTGAGTTTGAGGCCAGCCTGGTCTACAGAGTGAGATCCAGGAGGGGCACAAAGCTACACAAAGATACCCTGTCTCAAAAAAACAAACAAACAAACAAAAAACCCAGAAAAAACAAAAAAACACCACCAAACAAAAAACAAACAAACAAAAAAAACCAAAATATATCAAAAATTCTAAAACTCAGCAAAACCACCTTCCTAGCGTGTCCCTCAGGCCAGCTGTGGCCTGTGAGCTTGAACTACACTATGATGGGTTCGAGGCATGCGGGGACTTGAGTGCAGTATGGCAGAATCCTACTGTGGGACACAGAGGTGTCTCCAAGCCATACAGCATGGTGCATGGTGGATATAGCTTTTGCTAGTACACACACACACACACACACACACACACACACACACACAGAAAAAGGAAAGAAAGAAGGTTTTTTGGCTACACGCTATTGGATGAAAATGTAGAGCCACTGTAGCATGAATCTTAAATGGTCTTATTAATAAAATCAAACCTGAAGCCAGGTATTGGGGTGAATGCTGGAAGGTCAGAGAAGCAGAACAAGCCACAGCCACCTTACCTCACCAGTTCCTCAGCTGATCCTCTTTCCTCACACTGGAATCCTCTGAGTCCTGATCCAAATAGATCTCAGCTGAACTGCTGCTTAAAAGCCTAACAGCTTAACCAGACTAGTTCCTGGTCCTCATGCCTTAAATACCTTTCTGCTTCCAGCCATCCTTCCTGGGATTAAAGGTGTGAGTCACCATGCCTGGCTCTTTCCAGTGTGACCTTGAACTCACAGAGATCCTGAGGATCTCTGCCTTTGGAATGCTAGGATTAAAGGGGTGTGTTACCACTACCTAACATCTATGTTTAACGTTGTGGCTGTTCTGTTCTCTGACCCCAGATAAGTTTACTAGAGTGCACAATATTTTGGGGAACACAATACCACCACAAACCACTGCTTCACAGAGTCATCCTTGAGCATGGTTCCCCCAGAGCTGGCAGTAAATGTACCACTGTCATGTTGAAAAGCTGAGGTGGGTGAAGTCAGCAGCCAAGGCTGCTGCTTCTCTGTCCTAATCACTCTGCAGTTTAAAGCAATAGATTCACAATAAGACAGATTCAGATGGGATAAACCCTAAACAGTTTACAGTGTGCGTAAAAATGTATGTAGGCTTAAAAGAGAGAGGAAAAGGTATATAGACAGTTATATAAAGAAATAGAAAGTTTAAAAAAATAAAGTCTTTAAAGAGAAAGTAAAAGCAATATAAAAATAAGCCATGTAAAGATGGAAATCACACACAGAGTCTAGATTATATTGTCTTTGGGATTTTTAACTGCAGAAAGACATTTGATTGTAAAAGCTGCTGATTTAAACTAATATGTATAATTTAAATGCATCTTGACTTCAAAATTTTTGTCTAAGGATATGTTGCTTTGGAAAAGAGGTTCTGCTTTTGGTTCCACAGAAGATGAGAACCTGTGGATTGCTTCCAGGCTAACATGGTTTGATCAGCCAAGGTCCTCTGAAATCTCTCCAGTGACACCATGGCCCATATCATCCAACACCCAAAATCAGCTTCAAAGCAACTGGCTCAGAGAATGCAGCCTCACAGATTATTCCAGTCCTG